CAGTAAAAAAGTTCTCCGCAGATGATGAACTGGTAGGTAAGGCTATTACTCAATTGTAGCCTGTAAAGCTCTTTGCTTGCTTTGCTTCTGTAGTCATAAAATGTTGATTAGAGTTGCAAGAATTTGCTTGCTTTGCTTCTGTAGTCATAAAATGTTGATTAGAGTTGCAAGAATTATCTGGAAAAGCAGTAATAAGCCTGGATTCCATCTGACACTAAACACCTTCACTAGAAAATAACGTCCTACGTTTAGCTAAATAAGGATAAATAAGCCACATATAACTGAAGGAATCACGTAAAAGTGCTTAAGCAACAATTAAAGTAAAATGATGATTGTAAAAAATGTTAAATAATGGCAAAATTAAAGCTAAATCGTGGGATAAGCACCAGTTGTTTACGAACGTTATGATAATTAATCCGCCATATTGCCGATCGCGCACCTGAAAAGCGCATTTGAAGTCGAATTTCAACTAATTTCAACCTCCGGTTCGTTTATGCGGAGTGCGATAACCTAGTCTTTAGTGTAAAATAAGGTTTCTAACACAAATTTCGGAAACCTACATTTCGTTAGTTCCGTATCGTTTATGCCGTGATTTGAACCTTGGTTTCAAACTTAGGTTTCGATTGAAGTTAGGTTTAGAGGCTCGCATAAACATAGCTACTGGTTTCAATCTGCGCAGAAAAATGTTAACATTGGTTCTTACGGAGCTTTCGCTTCTGTTGACGTAGTCTATTTATTCTATGGTAATACTACTCTCGTAGTCATGAGAAAAAAATATTAATGTTGCCAGGCAAGTCCGTAAGGGTCACATAGATCCGGAATTTGGACAACGCGGAGAGATCCGGATCTCTGAACGGAACGGCTATCATGAAAAGACGCCAAGGGGGCAATAAACAGTTCTCTCAATAAATCTTAAAATGTGGTAGTTAATCTCATGAAATTTCTTTTTATAATCTTTGACGAAATTTCTTAACTCTGAGAGAGCCAATGAAAACAGAGTGCTTTCCAGTAAAGGTGCCGCCCATCGCAGCTGATGGTCTTGCCGAACAAAGTGGTATGAGTGGAGCGTCTCTTCCCTCTTTCTTGAATCTTGGCTCTTTTAAGCGCCATCTTGTTGCAGTTGCCGTCTCTGCGTCAGTCTCAGTCCGTCTGCCGTGCTGTACCATTTTACCTATAGTTCCCAGGAATGTCGAATTTCGAGGGTTTTTCAAGCATTGGTGACTTTATGTCGCTACCGTAATTCACTTTTTCAGCCGGACAGCTTCGCATTGACGCGAGTCGCGATTCATTATAGTTGAGGTACCGTCCAGATTCTAATCTGCAGCAAAGCCTAACTAATCGTTTTCTTTTCCATCAGCCCTTTATCATACATCATTGAAAATCACTTAGTCTTTCTCCTTTAGAAATCCCTATGCAGTCTATGAAATCATTCCGTCGTCTGTCACGCAACATTTATACTTAGAAAATAAAGTTGTCTCGTATTAAACTGCTCAGTGTGTCATATCATGAATCGGTCCAGTTTAGCGAAGGTGAATGTTCCAGATGAACTCCGCGATTTGTTGTTAGACTTTACAATTAGCTATTTACTAAATCAGCCCCCGGATTTGTTGGATTATGCGGTCGATTATTTCACGAAAATGAGAAACAATTGCCCCAGAGGTGGTGTCAGGCACACGAGAGCCTCTACCCCAGGTGATGAATCAATTTCAGAAGACGGTAAGTGTCAGTGATCTAGTTTTACCTTAGTTAATTCTAGAGTACCTTTATAGCGAGAGTATGGACAGATCGCTTGATGGAGAGCTTAGGGCCCAAATGTGCAGCCACCCTTCTGAGCAACTTCTAACACACAAAATTTCACTGCCAGCCTACAGATTTCAATTCTAACCAAGATGGCCAAGAATGTACATAAATGAGCGTTCTTTCGCAAGAATGAGTAAAATTATGCAAAAAGTAAGCCATTCACATGCTTTATAAACGACGGTTCGTAACAATTGTGGTAAATTTGCAGTTTACGCACTTTTCCGAATTATGAATGAATTGTTTTCTACCAAGGTTTTTTAAGCTTCTAATGAGTTAAGAAGGACGATTCAACTTGCGGAAAGAAGAAAATCACGCGTTTTTAATTTTTTGTAAAAAATAAATATCGTTGTTTTGCTTCGTTTCCACGCGTAGGATGGACAAATTACTGTGGGTCGCCTTACCCTTTGGTGGTTGTGCAGCGCTTTGGGTGGTCAACTACGGAACTAATGTTTCGGTAGGTGTCAATTTCTGCGGGCTATTTGAATTTTGCGTTTTTCTGTTGGTGTGAATTGACGCTGAGAAATTTAATTTTTTGCGAGTTTGCGTGTTTTTGTTGGTGTGAATTGTTTCTGAGAAGTTTAATTTTTCGCGTGAAAACCTGCAAAAAATGAAACAAACCATAAATCAGAATTGCAATAGAAGAATTTCATTGAATCGATCTGCTATTTATTCGATTTTTTTTTCAGAATTTCAGCTTATTTAGAAATCTAGACTAATTTAACCTAACCTTACCTAACCTAACCTAACTTACCCGAGTATTGCCTTACGTAGCCCAACCTAAGGTAACTTACCTTAGGTTGGGCTACTCAGGCTTGTGGATATTGCATTTAGGTAGGGATTACGGTTCTGAAGTAAGTGTTTTCCAATTTAAAAAATAAATTTCAAACAATTTCTCAGCACCAATTCACACCAATAGAGAAACGCAAACACGCAAAATTCAAATAGCCCGCAGTAATTGACACCTACCGAAACATTAGTTCCGTAGTTGACCACCCAAAGCGCTGCGCAACCACCAAAGGGTAGCGCGACCCACAGTAATTTGTCCGCCTACGCGTGGAAACGGAGCAAAACAACGATATTTATTTTTCACAAAAAAGTTAAAAGCGCGTGATTTTCTTCTTTCCGCAAGTTGGATCGTCCTTCTTAACTCATTAGAAGCTTAAAAAACCTTGGTTGAAAACAATTCATTCATAATTCGGAAAAGTGCGTAAACTGCGAATTTAATGTATCAATACTTCAGTTCGATGCTTGATACCAGTATCAATGCTTAGTGTCGATACCTGTAACGATACTTCTCTGAGTATCGACATCCCTAAGGCCAGCCAGTGTCACCAATGAGAAGCTTTGGATTGAACTTTGAACTTTAGTTAACTTCTGCAGCTTTAATATGGAACTTGAAGGAGAGCCGGACACGGGAGCTGTCAGCAATAGATTTCGGGTGCAGATTGCCAAACGACGGTGGTGGCGCGACTGCGGATTGCACAGGAGTTAGGGCGCTCCGCGAGAATATATGAACAATACTGTAAGGGCGTAAGGGATGGGGAAATAGCCCAACTCGCGATGAGACTAGAAAGCACTAAGGTGGCGATCACCGGCAAGTACGCATGTATGCAACACTGACCCCTCGCTGGCCGCTTGGCCGCCGCTATATAGTAATGCCCAAAAGATGTAACCCTGGCGCGGCACGCGCCAACCAAAGCACCTATCTGCGATCACCTCGAAAATACGCGATCTCTCACGTATGTCTGAGGTGCTCCTAACAGAGGCGTACTCTCAAGGTAGAGTACGTCTCTGCTACAATACCTATATGAAGCGTGTGGCTCATTTTAGAACTTTGACTTTTAGAAGTTTTCTTGTCCGGACTGCGAGCCGAACGCTGCCTTTTTTCAACGGTATATTACAGAGAAGTGCAGGTAAAGGGGAATTGTGTCGATATAAAAGAAGGGGCAGTGGACTGATTAATCGGAATAACTGGTCAAACAGTGGTTGCCCATTTTTGAGAGTGATTCTTTTCGCTCTAAATGTTTTTACTTTTTTCTTTAGGCCTTGTCTCCACGGGCCGTTTCACGAGATTTGTCCCAGCGTTAAATTCCACTTACGAAGTTGAGAAAAATATTGAGTTAATCAATATTTTTCCCAGTACCAAGTATGGTGCTTGTACCCCTAGGACCCACTGAGAGGAGAGGAAGAAGTGAAATGAATTGTGCGATATTTTATTCATTACTCCATTGTTAATGTTTGTTCAGTTAAAATAATGTGTATAATTGTCAATTGAGTGCAATTAGTATTGTAATCCCGGTTAAATACTCGACTGTATCTAATTTATCTTCTCACGCAAACTAGTCGCAGGACTGAATGAGCCCCGTCCCGTGTAGACGGTAACTGGGAAAAATCCCAGAAGTTTCATTCCTGCGATTCGAACTTGGGACAAATCTTATGAAAACGTCCCGTGGAGACAAGGCCTTACCTTTCTCCTCTTGTATTTTAATCTCCCCAAGTTGAGAAAATGACAATTTTATATCTACCAGCAATCCCCCCCCCCGATCACGTCATCGGGACACCCATCAAGGACGCCATAGACTCATCCGTTGATGACTTCATGGAGGCACCTGTCGATGACGTCGATAGAAACGAGTCTCGTTGATGACGTCATGGAGCCATCCTTGGATGACGTCTTGATAATGGCATTTTGAGGTCACATCCAGGGTACCAGTTGATGGTGACGTTACAACACAAACCATAATTCATGTATATACATTAATTGCTAATTAGTTTTTGATGAGTCAATATTTTCTAAATTTCTAATTTTTAATAAATTTTCCGCTTCATATATAAAACCTACTTTAGCGTGTACAGCATCAACTTGTTTTGAATCCCCCGCCACCTCTTTTTAAAAGTCAGAGAGTTTTTAGAATCTTGTCCACCTGTATTACAGGTTTTCAATTTTTACAGCCCACAAGCTGTTCGTTAGTTCCTCAGATGTCCGATTCAATTTAGAGATTCAATTCTTCAATCCCGTGGCCAAAGTTTGTTTACATCATACGAGCGCCCTAACTCCTGTGCAATCCGCAGTCGCGCCACCCGTCGTTTCGCAATCTGCAGTGCACCCGAAATCTATTGCTGACAGCTCCCGTGTCCGGCACCGGGAGAACGTGGATCTTCTGGACTCTCTGAATGTGCATAACCTCAAAAGGCTTGCACTCAATGCACTCCGTGAATTAACTAGAGTACCTGTATAGCGAGAGTATAGACAGATGTGAAACTCCGAAAATTCATCAGGCCTTCACCGATGCCTCCGCGAATAAAGTTAGGGCCCAGAAATGCAGCCAACCTATGAATTTCAAATGTCCAGAGCGATTTACAAATACAATAATACCTATAAATACAATACAATACAAATACAATAAATACCATTGATACTTTTGAGGTATAGATATCATCGATAACTAAGCCTAATTAGAGATAGCATCATTGACTCTCTCTTACACCTTGAGTCAATGGACGACCTCCGTTATCTTAGTTTCAGGTATAATTTACCATGAATCATAACAAATTTGATGTAATTCTACTCAATGCTTCTACAATTGATGAATCAGTTTCTTGCGTTAACTTGTATTTATCGATAATTATTGCCTCTCAAAGACAAACTGCACAGCAGCGCAACGTGGTGGCAAAACTCTTCCCTAGATCACATAGAATCACCTTACAAGGTGTTGTCAGAGTGGCATTTGTTTACTTTCAGTTTGCAGGCATGTTTGCGTCACTACTATCCACATGTTAACTTTCGACTCTCACAGAAGCAATAATACACGCTTGGATAGGTTTTCAACACCTCTAAACCTTATAACACTTCAACTTTTTATCACTTGGGAATCACAACCACCCAACAGTTGTGAATCATAACTGGTAAGTAGTTGTTTTACGATAAGATCATGAGATGGATGTTTTCAAGGTGGATAGTAGCAAATGATGGTCTGTGCAGAGGCTTCAATTTGTTGTCTGCGTTTGCAAACCGAAAGTAAACAAATGCCAACTTATCGGACGACACCTGTACCTGTTTTTGTTCTAATATATCAACACATGTATTGGAGATATTGTTTAGGTAGAACCAAATTTGAATCCATTACTTGACTCTCAATAGTGCCGTATTGTCCCAGTATTTCAGTGCATATAATGTATGAGTGAGGTATTCCTAATCTGTATCCCGGTAACTGCAATAGCTACCTTCCATTGGAAGTTTTAGAAGTATGATGTAAACTGACTTGATTATTTGCCCTCAATATCTTAACTGTTCAGTTCGTGCATATACTCTTTGCATTAGTAGTCTTAAGTAATTATCAAAATACCATGAATTCATCCCAAAAGGCACTAGATTAAACCAATTCCTGCTTACCATTCCTGGCCATGCGAGTAATCATGTGAAAGTGTGTTAATATTAGCAAGGTTACCAAATTGTACAACAAAATGTAGGTATTGTACATTGGTTTAAATTGAGAAATCTGATTTTTCAGCACTATCTGGCAACAACTAATTCTGCGGAGGAAAACATCCCCTATATTGGCATGCATGTCATAATTTTTACCTTCTTTTAAAATGGGATTCAATCGTACAAATTTGTTTCATTTGATCAAAATTGCCTAGGAAGTAAACTAAAAATTCCATGCGCGGAGCAAATTCGCTGTCTTTAGTAAAAAAGTCAGTTATTTGCAGTCCACGTCCACCCTCTATGATCCTGTGTATCCTCCGCAGCTCTGACCAGTTAACCTCAGACAATGGCCAGGAATGTTTAGTTGGACAGCAAAGATGATGAATGTGTAAGAATGAACTTGAGGAAAGAAGGAGCAAAGAAAGAAAGAGTGAGATTAGAAGAAGGTCAAGGAGAAGCATCTGTCTGCATAACCACACTAAGAGCACATGCGTTGTTTCTATGATGAGCCTGAAATATTAGTTCCTATCAGCAAAATATAGTCCATTCAATCTTTCTCCACTCATCAATTTGTCTCCATTAATCAACTGTCTGTTTTCGTCATCACTTTAGTTTTGTTCTTTAATGTTTTACAGAACCACCCGTGGCCCGTTTTGGAACCAGAAGGAAATCAGTATTTGCTGAAGCTTACAATCCCGAGGAGGATGATGAGGACGAAGGACTGAAGGTAAGATTAGCAGAAATAAAGCAAGGGCGCCCTCAGGGATGCAGAAACTTCCGGATCGGTCCGGTCCCGTGAAATGGGGAAACCCATAGAGAAAATACAGAAGGTGATGGCAAGGCAGCCATCCTGAAGATTGGCTTTGTTGTAGAAAAGTACACGGGCTGACGCACTCTTCAAAAAAAAGTACATTTCATGATGGAACCTGTATAAAGACCTACATCACCACCATCTTGAAGGACTCCACTGAATCTAACATTGAAAGTCATATGATTGAACATCAGTTACCATGATTGAAAGTCATATGATTGAACATCAGTTACCATGACTCTTTTTTGATGCACAGAACGTGATTTAACATGGTTATACCTTCACAATGGGACGAGTCGCATGAAATATATGTTTCTAACTTACAAATTATTTCCAGTTTTAGTCAAACATTGATAGAAAAACATATTGAAACATAAAAAGTCAATACTTACGAGTATTTATAGCCGAAATAAGTGAGAGCCTCACAACCTTTCTCGCCCCTTTTAAATTTCAAGGAGGTCTCGGTTTTCCCGCAATACCATTAACCAATTGGGAGGGTGGATTCATTTTTAGTCGCAATGTAGAAAAGTACATTTTTTTCGCTTGCCACCACCTTCTGTATTTTCTCTATGGGGGAGAACCCATATGAGGACGAGAAAAATGGGGGAACCCTGTGAGAAGAGGGAGCGTTCTGTGTTCCTCCCCTCTCTTTTTTGCAAAGTGGGGTACAAAACATTCAAGCACGTTGTTTTGAGGGAACAAAACTGTCGACCGCGTTACTTTATGTGTTGGGCTCAGTATGTGAAAATTTGAAATGGGAGAACCTAAATTTATTTTGGGGGAACTCTTGAAAGTCTCTGCACCCCTGGGCGCCCTCAAGTAATAATAGTATGAATATTAATAGTATGTTACAGTATGAATAGTCCGTTCCAGATGCTCAAACTGGAGCGTCAGTCTGTTGGTACGGATGCAGGTTGAACATAATAAAACAAAATGAATAAATAAAAATGTCAGAAGGCCTTATTTTTGGCAAGAGTTGATTTAGAGGTGTTGATCAAAAGTCATCAGCCCACGGATCTTAGACGTTCAACAGTCAACACATGCATCGATACCCCCCTACTGACGCTCCAGTTTAATCCCAGTTCGACACGACGTCCAACAGTTAGATCGGGCTAATGTCTTCAAAAATCATCAGACTATGACTATCCTAGCTCCTCAGGCAAGCTAGCGGACCTTTAGTAGATAAAAAAGTGGAGAGGGTTGCATAGTCTGCTTAAGTGAGGCTTAAGTGTATGTAGGCATTATTAATGTTTCCAAAAAATGCCCATTTTATTTTCATAAAAAATCCATATTGTCAAATTCAATGAATGGCGGATGACAGATTGCCTAAGAAGGTACTGCATTGAGTTCTTCTTGGGAGGAGACGTAGGGGACGTCCAGCAAAATCGCGGATAGGTGGTATTCAAGATGAAATTACAAGATGCAGTTTACTAGATGATCTCTGGGTCGTTAGCATTGGCGGATCCAGCGAATTGTCAAAATTATCTTCTTTCCATTTAAACCTATGCAAATTTATCCATCCTTGGAGGGGTCAGGTGCTCCCACAAGAATGGATCATTTAGCATAGCTTTAAACGGAAGAAATCCGGTGTTGCCAAGTTGCTGGATCCGCCTCTGGTCGATAGACAAGAATGGGGATTAGGTGTCGCAGAGCTCCCAGGCATGCTGTAAAGGCGTCTTGTATGTATGTACGCTTTTAAAAATTGGAGGCTCAGTTTTCGCAATGCTGTCCCATGGTATAAACGTACTGTGATCTTTGGCAGTAAAATCAATCTGTGGGAGGGAGAAGGTTCGAATAGATCGCTGGTGTTGATGAATCTTTGCCTCCGCCTCCTGTGCAGCTAAAATTTTATTAATACCAAATTTCCGTTTTGAATCCTGGTCATCAGTCACAAGAGCTAAAATCATATTCTCTGGGTGGGCAAAGTAGGAGTTATGCTCAGGAGTTATGAGTCAGTGTATATGGAGACCACAATTATAGTTTTACACTGTGACTAATGGAAGTTAAATAAAATTCTGTATGTTTTTCTTTTCCTTTCCACAGGTTGTGTATCCAAAATCAGACGAACAGAGGAGAGCGCTAGCAGATAGTGTGAAAAATATTTTATTATTCCGTTCACTAGATAAGGTCTGTTGTTTTGCTCTCTCTTTCTCCATGACTTTTTCTTATTGGAATAGGGAGAAAAAATCATCCCAATTATCTAGTATCCCTTCGATTTTTTTTTTTTTTTTTTACTTTTTAAGCTGAGATTGATTTAGTTTAATGAGAACATTCCATCAACTTGGTTGTTCGCAGATCCTTAATTTTATTTTTGTGGGCAGAGGGAAAGTCTCAGACATACACTATCCTGGAAGATAAGAATTGATTTGAAAAGTAATAGTCGTCCACGGCTTAATTTGAAAAGTTAGGTATAGCAGTCCATGGCTACTTGGTCTATGATTATGAAAAAGCTTAGATTTTATAAAATGATTATAAAATAACTTTTATCAGTCCAAAGCACATAAAGTTGTCCTAAGTTAGTAATTCTTAGTGATGACACCGTTAAAAGAAAAAAAATGAGGGAAATATACATGAATGAAGTCATAATGCATATGTTTGAAGTCATAACAGAGTTTGATAGTCCATTCTTTCTGGTAGAGTGCATCTACATTTCCTTCATCAGCCTCATCTTGCTTTGAATCAAGTTTCATGGGACTGAAGGAAACCTACATTAAATAACAAGATAGAGGCGTCGTCAGAGAAGTTGACCATTGTTTACTTTTGGTTTGGAAGCGCTTTCGCATCACTACTATTCATATGAAAACATCCAACTCTCGCAGAAGCAAGAATACAAGCTTCGATAGGTGTTTAATTACTTTCAAACCTTGCAACACCTTAATTTTTAGTCACACAGAAATTACAACCCCATAAGAGTTGAAAATCATAACTGAGAAGTATTTTTACGTTACGATCATGAGACGGATGTTTTCAAGCGAAAGCTGTTTTGTGCAGAGGCCTAAATTCGTCACCTGCGCTTGCAAACCGAAAGTAAACAATGGTCAACTTATCTGACAACACCTCTCAGGATACAGGATTATAGTTTCTAAAAGTTAATTGCCAATAGCCATTATTTAGTTTTATTAACACAAATATCTGTTAATATCAAATACTCCACCGTAAGTAATAGGCCAGCCTCGTGATCAATTGACTTGGGTTATGAAATGGAACCCAGAACCCAAAGGAACTTAATTTTTTTTCAACCACAACTGGAGGTCTAAACCTGGAATTTTTTTGAATTGGAATGACATGACATGGAATCGAAATGAACAATCAATTCCGGAAGATTCCACTACGGCTGGTGTTGTGGTTTGGGTACATTTATTTTTATAAAATTTCCCTAGAAACCAGATGGTGCTACCGCACTGGTTTTCTCTGAAAAGAATTTCCGAACTCTGAAGAAGCTCCCTTAAATTGACGCTGTTGATGGAGGGGTTCGTCCACCAGTAGGAAAGTACAAGCGGGATCGTTATTCCTGCGAAAAATAGTTTTCCGTAACCCGCCGTACATGACTCAGTTGACCACAGGAGATTACCCGGGCCCGAAGTCATGTTAGTGAAGAAAGCCTTTCCCCTCATTGATATCGCACCTTCTCCGACCGTATCTCTCACATCTTCGTTTCTCCTCATTGCAGCATGCATCAAATTGCGATTATCCGGAATATACGATCAC